TTACAGTTAATCTGTTTCGATTTCCTGTAGACCTTGGAATTGGGACTTCATCTAGGATATTTTTGGAAGTACTTTCCACTTACAAGTTGACGGTATACTTTTTGTCAAACACTAAAGAGTCTTAGAGAGATACCTAATATTTTTGGTTCTGATTTTGGGTACAGAGTTTTAATTTCCAGGCATATGAAATTATAATGTAAGAAAGACTAGTTTTTTTTTCATAAATAATAACTTATAGTTACCTTAATATCAGGTATGCTCTTTTGTGACCAAAAAGAAAAATTTAAGAGGGCTGAATTGCTGGCTTTTAGGGTGGTTTTTCTAGCATGGAATAATCCATATGTTGGTATTAACTGAATTTTTGCTTTTTTCTCCATTTTATTAAGCTACAGGTATGGAAGGAAAGCTCTTTAGAAATAAAATCTTAGGGATTTTTAAAAAATGGTCTGCAGTGTTTATTTTTTATTTATTTTTTTTTTTTGAGACAGTCTCACTATGTCACCCTCAGTAGAGGGCACTGGCGTCACAGCTCACAGCAACCTCCAACTCCTGGACTCAAGCTATTCTTCTCCCACAGCCTTCCCAAGTAGCTGGGACTACAGGTGCCCACCACAATGCCTGGCTATTTCTTGTTATAGTTGTCATTGTTGTTTAGCAGGTCCAGGCCGGGTTCAAAATTGCCAGTCTCGATGTATGTTACTGGTGCCATAACCACTGTGCTATGGGTGCCGAGTCTGGTCTGCAGGTTTTTCTAAAGGAAAATAATATTTAGTCAAAGTCCTGTCCTTTGATATTTTCATATTCTGTCCTCTTTCTTAGGCCTTTGAACTGGCTACAGGTGACTATTTGTTTGAACCTCATTCAGGGGAAGAATACACTCGAGATGAAGGTGAGTCCCCTTAACCAAGGATTTTAGTGTGTGGTAGTTAACATCCCATGTTTGTTAGTACAAGACCGTTAGTCTTATTAGCGTGCAAAGTATGTATAAATTCCCAAAATGGTATATAAAAGGTATATTTTGTTACATATTTAGATATACTAGGTAGTTCATAAAAGATATTAAAGTCTCAGTGCCTGTAGTTTATAAAAGATATTGAAGGCTTGGTCTCTGTAGCTCAGCAATTAGGGCATCAGCCACATACATCAGGGCTGGCAGGTTTGAACCCAGCCCTGGTATGACAACTGCAACAACAAAAAAAAACAGCCAAGCATTATGGCTGGCACCTCTATTTCCAGCTACTTGGGAGACTAAGGCAAGAGAATCGCTTAAGCCCAAGAGTTTGAGGTTGCTGTGAGCTGTGATGCCACAGCACTCTACCAAGGGCATAGTGAGACTGGCTCAAAAAAAGATATTAAAGAGTTCTGTGAGAGGGTGGTGCCTGTGGCTCAAAGGGGTAGGGCACTAGCCCCATATGCCAGAGGTGGCGGGTTGAACCCAGCCCTGGCCAAAAACTAAAAAAAAAAAAAAAAAAGAGTTATATGAGAAGATTAAACAAAAGGCCACTGTTGATTAAACTAAAACTTCTATGTGTCAGGCAGCTTTACTTCAACTTCTCGTTATCTTCCTTTTTGTATACATCAATGATTTATTCTTTATCCAGTTGAATTTACTTATTCATCAATGTATTGCTTAAATACTACTTGAATGAAGAAACTATGTATCTTATTTATGTAAATTATGCAACACACACCATTCTTTTTCCTTTTTCTGAAAATTAAAGTTACAATGTTTTCTTCTTTAAATGATATCAACATTTGGAATTTCTTTTTTAAAAATGTACAATAGATTTATGTTTTGTGATAGCTGGTGGCAAAAGGCCAAAGTTTCAGTTACTACACCTGTGAAGCTGTGGAAACAGACAACTTGTATGTGTCGGATTTTTCTATTAGGTGGCATCCAAATAACTAGATGAGTTAGTAATTTGAAAAAGCAAATTTTACCTTTTTTGTACACTTGAGTCCATTTTTGTTTTGTTTGTAGGATTAATGACTATTTTGAAAGGTCACTGGCAACATACCTTCCCAATGTGAAGAATATGTCCTTTTCTTTCATTGCTTCCCTCAGGTTTTTAGAAAATCAGGTTTTGTGCTCTGTGGAACACTAGTGCTCTATATTTCTCAAAATGTGGTCCCCTTGGGTATTACTAGGCAATGTTAGTGGGGCATGGTAATATTCCTAACAAATATAGTTTAGAAAATGCTATGCTAGCTAATCCCTATTATTTCCCATTTTAGTAGATAGAGTTTAGACATGTTTTATGTGTGTAAGTTCCATGTTAGAAGATACTATAATTGCTTCCCATGTACATACTTGATTTTCCCTATTCTCTGCTTGCTGTCTTTCTGGGTCATAAGTTTGGGACTATAGGCTTGCAATGTTTTAGAAATGCCTTACTATATTTGTTTAGGATGGTGATTTTTTTCTCTATGCTTCCTTAGACTTTCCATATTAGTGTATGGTCTGGAACACATACAGGGGCTAGAATTATACCTAGTAGGATCTTATGCTACCAATCCTGAAAACTGAAATGTATATGTAAAGTCCCAAATAAGGAGACAAGGGAGAACCATCTTCTCTAGCGATTTAGATCCTAATTTCATCCTTCCTATACCAATCAATACTAATAGTCCTTACAGCAAAACTCACCCTCTCCCGTACTATTCTACTGCAATTTGGCCTATAAGATCAGGAAAAAGCAAACCTTTATCCCCAATACATGTATACATCATCTGTTATAAGGTATAGTATTAAATAATTCTGACACCTGAGTAGCATGTCCTCTATTATTGTTGACATTCCATAATTATGGGGATAATACTTGATAATTGTGCTTATCAAGTATACCAATCCTATGATTATTTATAAGCCAAAGTTAGGTTGCTGCAATTAGAAGTAAAATAACTGTTTCAAGAGAATTCCATGGTCTAGGAAAAATATTAAAAGAATGAATACTTTAGTTGGCACCTGTGGCTTAGTGAGTAGGGTGCCAGCCCCATATACTGAGGCCTGTTTTTCAGAGTGGTTCTAAAAACTCACATAGTCTGGCCAGGCATGATGGTTCATACCTGTAATCCTAGCACTCTGGGAGGCCGAGATGGGTGGATTGCTTGAGCTTAGGAATTTGAGACCAACCTGAGACCTTGTCTCTACTAAAAATAGAAAAACTAGCCAGGGATCAGGGGGTGCCTACAGTCCCAGCTACTTGGGAGGATGAGGTAAGAGAATCGCTTGAGCCCAAGGGTTTGCAGTTGTGACTGTGACACACTCTACCCAGGGCAACAGAGAGTGACTCTGTCTCAAAAAAAAAAAAAAAAAACCCTCAAATAGTCATATATGTAAGTGCTCTGTCATGAACATTCTTATAAGAGATACTTTGATTGCATGAAGCCCAAGGCAGTATTACAAATAAATAACAGTTCTAGAGTGCCTAAAGCAAATTGGAAGGTTTTTTATCTTACCTAAAGAACCCACCTAAACCCAGATATATAGACAAAATAGAAATAAAGGTGTAAATAATCCTCTATAATACAGAATGGGACTTGCCAACTACCATCAGGTGACCAATCACCTGAAATAATGCTTGGCCTTCCCAGTCAAGTATCCTGGGTTTTATTTGTAGTTACTTTTGAACAGCTCGTCCTTGAAAAAGCTATTCATAGAAAAACCTCTTTTACAACTTGTCCTTGATCCTGTTCTTCTTACCCTTCTATTTTAGACCACATTGCGCATATTATAGAGCTGATAGGCAGAATTCCAAGACGCTTTGCCCTCAGTGGGAAATATTCACAGGACTTCTTCAATCGCAGAGGTAGTATTGTTAACATGAGTTTTCATCTAGGCCCCAGGGATACAACCTCAGGAAGCAGAGCATTCACACCAAGATTATTTTTAGTTATTACTGAAGTCCCACTGGAATGGGCATCTGATTTTTTAAGATTTTGTGGATTCTCCATTAGATGGGTAGAGTCCTCCTCTTCCTATTTAGGACAGAAAGCAAGCCTGAAATGCTTTATAAAGAGGTGTGCATGCTACTCTTTCTGCCATTGTCTAAAGTTGCATTTGTTACTCCTGTTATGTATGTCTTTTTTTCCCCCTCTTGAAATGTTTGAAACATGCAGATCACATTGCATTGATCATAGAACTTCTGGGGAAGGTGCCTCGCAAGCTCATTGTGGCAGGAAAATATTCCAAGGAATTTTTCACCAAAAAAGGTAAAAATAAATGTGTTTGTTCTCAGACATTAAGAGGGCAAAAGTGTTTAAAAATAAAGAGGTAAGTACATGTTCCCAACATCCTCCAGCAGGATACCTACCTTGAATGTTGAAGTGTGACTTGGTAGGGAGGGCAAAGAATACAGTCAAAAGAAGAGAATGGAGCCAGACTGTCGAATCCTGCCTGCTCCATTAGTGTGTAACCTTTGATGCAACCTCACTGTGCCTCAGCTTGCTCACTTCTAGAGAGAGATGGTAACGAGGTGTACTTCACATTAAAATAGTTATTAATAAAATGTGTATATTGTCTAACACATGGTTGGTTACTTCAACTATAGCACTTCTGAAAAATGAGCAAATTTTTGCTGGCATTTGATCTAAGAACTGCATCTACCCAAGTGCCAATAGTTTAAAGCTTCTTACAGACAAGGACTACTACTCGCTCATATTTGTATTCCAGTGACACCTAACAGTCTCCAGTCACTCAGAACACACTAGTCATATAAACATACATTATACTTTCCAGTTTCATAAGTTTGTTAGTACATGTTAATGATAGGAACAAAGATAAAGCTCTCACTTCAACTTTTTGACTTGATAATATATCTCTTAGCATTCCAAATAAAATTGAAATGTGAAAACCTATGTTAGAATGACCTAGAAAGCTGTTCTTTTTTCTTCATTATGCAATGGTTCCCCTTTTCCTTGCAACCTCTTTACAAATGTAAAGAAAAATAATTTTTCTCCACCCTTAATAGAGCACCCTCAGAACCATTACCCAAATGGTTGTCAAGTGCTTCATAATAGTTTCTCCTTGTGTGCAAAGTCAGATTAAGGCATTTACGTGTACCAAGTAGGTAATTAAAGAGGCACTTCTGCCCACGGGAGAGACTTCAAATAAGTGTTATATATGAAAATAAAATTTTAAGCAGCATTTGCCTTAATAAGCCATATTATTATGGTCATATTTTAAAAGTGGTCGCTTTAAAGGAGCAGTTAGGTTACTGCTTCAGAATAGTACAGAGTATGATGCTATCCATATTGGAAAGCTGTATACGGTTTGATTTTTTTTGTTTTGTTACTTTTATACAGTTTTTCTTTTTTTTTTTTTTTACTTTTGTACATGTTTTAACATCATAATACATATTTAACATGATAGTAGTTTTCTTTTGCTTTGTTTTTTTTTTTTTTTGACAGAGTCTTACTCTGTTGCCCTAGGTGGAGTGCTGTGACATCGTCATAGCTCACAGGAACCTTATTCTCTTGGGCTCAAGCAACCCTCTTGCTTTAGCCTCCCAAATAGCTGAGACTACAGACTCCTGCCATGATGCCTGGCTGGATTTTCTGTTTTTATTAGAGACAGGGTCTTGCTCAGGCTGGTCTCTAGCTTCTGCTCTCAAGGAATCCACCCACCTTGGCTTCCCATAGTGCTAGGATTTAGAATTACATGAGTGACCACGCCCAGCCATGATAGTAGTACTTTATTTTTTAAATTGTGCCTCACTTTGAAGCAGCATTTACTAGACTATCAGCAGCAGGGCGGGAAGGGAAGAGTACAAGCAAATTATTCTCAGTATGTGGTCCTAGACTGCTTCTGCACATCAGATGACACCATGTTGGATATATAGGCATTTCACTTTATTTTAGAGAATACCTAGTTCCTGATTGGCATACTCAGTTTGACTGGGGGAAAAAAAAACACTGCAAAGGGGAGAAAACAAATTACCTTTAATTTTCGGAGCTTTATTAAAAAAAAAGAGGTACCTCTTTCTGAGGAATACATCTGAAAAGAAGTACCTTGTGAATGGAGGATTAGAATCTGATGTACAAAATTTAATTTCTTATAGACTACCTGGAGTAGTTCTTGGATTTCCACAAGAGGATCCTATCACATGTCAATGTTGATCAGGGGTTTTTTGTTTCTTTTTTTTGTTTTTGTTTGTTTGTACTATCTTCACTGCAGGTGACCTGAAACACATCACGAAGCTAAAACCTTGGGGCCTTTTTGAGGTCCTGGTGGAGAAGTATGAATGGTCTAAGGAAGAGGCAGCTGGCTTCACAGATTTCTTACTGCCCATGTTGGAGCTGATCCCTGAGAAGAGAGCCACTGCTGCCGAGTGTCTCCGGCACCCCTGGCTCAACTCTTAAGCCCCTGCCCAGCACCGCAGCAGAGATCACACACTGACCCTCTCTAACCATCCCCCCTCCAAGCATTTCCTCTTCCCTTTTTGGGATGAAGCTCTTCTTTCAAGGGTTTCTAGGTTTTTTTTTTTAATCCAACATGTTCATTTGGGTTTGCTTACTTGACCATGTGGAGATCCCCACAGTCATTGGGTATCCTATGTGAATTTGGCCTTGGTTGGGCTCTGCCAAAGACTAATGGACTAAAAAGTAAAACAGCCTCTCTCCCTATACCCTTGCCTTTCCACTAGGACGTCCTTTTTAAAAAGAATTGTGAAGATCTATGAGCCCATCCTTTTATTCACTGACTCTAAGAGTCAAATTTTCTAATGCATATCCTATTGCCAGCATAAGGATAAGGAGGGGAAAGGGTGTTGTTAATTCTTTGTGCAGCAGAGACATTAAACTTGCTGTATCCAGGCTACATCAACTTCCTGGATTGTTTCTGTTGTTCTCTATGTTCACATTATTTTCCTGCAACTTTTAAGCTACTATCTTTTTTAATGAACTATATAACACCGAATCTGGGCACCATTTTATCACTGTTCAAAGCACTGTCAAATTCCTTTAATAACTTTTAAGATCCTTGAAATTTGATTTTAATATAAACAAAAATGGAACCATTGAATAATAATTTCTTGAGAACCTCAGGTGTTCTGTAAACAGTCTTTCCTATGTGTGTTCTTATGTTACAGTAAGAGCACAGTTAGTTTGGCTGTTATGTTTTGTTTTGTTTGTTTTTTTTGTTTTGTTTTTTTGTTTTTTTTTTTTTTAATCCCTGGCTGGCACTTTACTCATTGCCCTTGAGTTTTTTGCCCCATAACTAAAGAATCAGAATGACTCCTGAAAAGAGATCTGGGTTTCAAAACTTTCCCATTGAAGAATATTTCCTAGAGTTCTGATTCTTTTCCAAATAATGTCTGCTTTTATTTATAACTTTTACTTTGCCCAAAATTCTGGCCTTAAAGCCGTTTCCCTCTGTGGCTTTAACTTTCTCATTTTCTCAGAGATTTTGGGTCTTTAATGAAACCCCACATAAAAGAACCAAGGGGAGGGGAGGGGTGGCACTTTTTTTTGTTGATTTTGGTTTTGTTTTGGTTGGTTGGTTTGTTTTTAAGATTAGCCATTCTCTGCTGCTATTTCTTTGTATAATGTAAGTTTATAACTACAATTTTGAGATGATTGAGATGTACTTGAGACTTTTTTTTTTTTAATGAGAAAAAGCTTTGTGAATTTTCTCTTAGGATGGGCCTCTTCTAGACTTGCCATAGACATTGTATATTCCTCGTAATATTGGAAAGCAAAAAGGGGGGCAAGATTGGGGTCACAGCTGCTTGTTCAGCATGGACCAAGTGAGCCTTGGGGATTACAGCATTCTCCAGACGCAGCTACTGGACTCTTAATTTACAGAAAGCCAAGGAGGTGCAACTTGAGGCTCTGCTAGCAAGCTACCAGAGAGACTGTTGGGTAGCCACCTTTCTATGTGGGAGCTTGGAATCTAATTTGTTGTTTATCCACCAAAAATGACAAAGGAAGAGTGGTGCCACTATGCAGTCCATTTAACTCATAAGCATGTTACTCTGAGTAACTGGCCAGCCATTCATCGGATCCTTGATTTGGGTACTCCTGAAATCAGACATGTTTCTGTAGAAAGAATTTCAAGTCAGGCTGTCTATGCACCTATCAAGAATAAAGAGAATAGATTTTTATCAAACAACGGCAGGGAAATCCTTCAATTCTGATCCACTTTGGGTTTTCAGCTATATTTATATCTAAAGCAATAGACTAGAACTGAATTCTCTTCTACATTGTAAAACCACAATTGTGGAATTATAGGAATTCTGGTGATGATTTTAAGGTGAGAAACCAAAAAACACCAACAAAAGGCCCCATTTTAATAATTGACATGGTAGGAAATTTTAATAGAACCTATAACTTCTCCCATCAAATAAGGGCTTTTTCCTCTAAAGGAGCCAGATGAATTACAAGATGTAGAAAGAGGCAGCTGTAGAACTTGATCTTCCAAGTACTCCAAAACCTTACTGAGCTTAATCATAATAATGTCAAATTGCCATGATCTCACTAAAGGATTTCTATTTACTGTCAGAAATAAAACCCTGAATCCATTTTTATTCTTTCTACTGAGTGCATCGTCTGTTTTCTTTGTAAATGCAGTACAATAAACAAATTATTTAATAACCTACTTGTGTCCAGAAGATTTTTGTTAATTTGTTGCCCAAGTTGATCTGCCCCAGCAGGATTGGTTGAAAACGCTTTTGAACTGAAATTTGCCTGAAACTGCAAATTGAATGCTTGCCATTTTGTGGGGTTTATTGTTTTGCTACTAGCTTTAATTGGGATTGGGGTGGAATTAACAAAGTACATATTGGAGCTGGGCACGGTGGCTCAGGCCTGTAATCTCAGCACTGTGGGAGGCTGAGGCAGGAGGATTGCTTGAGCTGAAGAGTTCGAGGCTTGTCTGAGCGAGAGTGAGACCTGGACTCAGGAAGAAAATGGAAAAGCCCAGCCAGGCACAGCAGCTTCGGAGGCTGAGGCAGCAGGATGCGCACAGGCTGAGTCTGAGGTTGCAGTAAGCTATGACGCCATTGTGCTCTGCTCAGGGCATAGGGTAGAACTCTGTCTCGACAAAAAAAAGTAAAAAAACAAAGTACATATTGGAAAATCATGTGAAAATTATTTCCTAGGTCCAACAGCATTTTTTCCAGAAAATTTGGGAAGTTTTTTACCCCTCAAGTTACAAATGCGATGTGTGTAAAATACAGCAGAAGACTTGGAAATGTAAGCTCTTAATAAGGCCCTGGCATTATGAACACTGTTACAGGTTTTCATACATTTGTCTGATTCATTTCTTTGGATGACTTTTTGGAATGACTGGCCAGAGAGAGTAGGTATATTTTTAAGGCTAACTTACCTGAAACAATTGGACTGTTTTTCTGTGTACCAACACTGTTCAAGTGGGCCTATTATAATCTCACTCATTTTATTTCTAATAGCTAGTTTGCAAAAAAAGGGGGGAGTATCACGTTTTAATTTTCACATTGGATTACTTGTGAGATCAGAAACTTGTTTAATGGGTTTTATTGGCCATGTGTATTTTTTGCTTATTTGCTGAAATACTTGGCTTGTTTTCAGAGTATTTGTTCATTAGCAGACCAGGTCAGATAGGGACTGTTTACATACTTAAGATAATTTTTGTCATTTTGCTTCATATACTTGGGCGGTTTTTAATTTGCTTTTATTTTTGTGGAGGTGTTTTGTTTTTGTTTTGCAATTTTTCGCCGAGGCTAGGTTTAAACCCACCACCTCTGGCATATGGTGTCAGCGCCCTACTCCTTTGAGCCACAGGTGCTGCCCAGGCTTTTTTTTTTTTTTAGTGTTACTCATAAAGTCTTTCCACATTTACTCTTGAACTAACTGTTCTACTTGGTTCATTTTAGTTGTGTAATTCTTAAGATACATAATGTTTTCATAATGTTGACCAAAATGTAACCTATTGGGATTCATCAAATCAATGTGTTCACCAATCTGACCAACCTAGTCAGGCCATCTAAGCCTTGTGTTAAATGTATGGACCTAGAATTCCCAGGGTTTTAGAAAACCTCAGTGCTGTTGTAGGGGAGCTTCTAGCTATCTCAGAAGAACCAACAAACTGAGATGGAGTCATAACCCCACCATTATCATTATTATTATTTAGTTTTCAAAATGCATTATTAAGTTTATTGGTAGGAAATAGACTCAAATGCAAAAAGCACATAAGTGTTCTGTGTTCAACTATGTGTTTTTTGTCCCTCAGTTAAAAATTTTTTCTGCATATGTTTCAGAATATGACTATAAAACAAAATGACTAGGTGCTTGGCTGTTGTGGATGTCTGTGGTCAGGATACCTCCCACAATTAAAATGCTTGATTTCATAAAAACGGTATTTAGATCCTTTAATGTTTAAAATGCTTCAAACTGCTTCAAAGCAAAAGCAAAAACCTTTCCAGAATAAAAGTAATCATTCTTTTCTAAAGTAATTCTCTGATTTTAAACAGAGCATCAGTAGTTACATAAATAATCAATGTTCTTGATTAATACTCTTTTTTGCTTTTTTTTTTTTTTTTGAGAGACATAGAGTCTCACTTTATCGCCTTTGGTAGAGTGCCGGAGGGTCACAGCTCACAGCAGCCTCCAACTCCTGGGCTTAGGTGATTCTCTTGCTTCAGCCTCCCAAGTAGCTGGGACTACAGGCACCCGCCACAATGCCTGGCTATTTTTTTGTTGCAGTTTGGCCGAGGCCGGGCTTAAACCTGCCACTCTCAGTATATGGGTCCAGTGCCCTACTCACTGAGCCACAGGCACTGCCCAAGATGAAACTTCTTTTGGGGGGGGGGGGAACAGAGCCTCAAGCTGTCACCTTGGGTAGAGTGTGGTGGCATCACAGCTCACAACCTCCAATTCCTGGGCTCAAGCGATTATCCTGCCTCTGCCTCCCAAGTAGCTGGACTACAGGTGCCCACCACAACGCCCGGCTATTTTTTGGTTACAGCTGTTGTTGGACAGCCCAGGCTGGATTCGAACCCACCAGCTCAGGTGTATGTGGCTGGCGCCTTAGCCAGCCTTAGCCACTTGAGCCCACAGGCGCCCAGCTGAGTCCAAACTTCTTAAATAGTTATCTTCTTAAAGGTATCTCAAGAGATGACATCTTAATAAATGAAACGATATAGCCAGAGCTGACTCAATTTTAGGCCTGTATTTCCTTTCAGGCAGGAGAACAGGATGCATCAAGATCTGTTGGAGAAGTCACTGGCTGACACTCCAACTATAGGTCCCACTCCAATCGGCTGACACTCCAGCTACAGGTCCCACAGGGAAGTCACTACAGTCCAGGTGGTCAGCCCTAGATAGAAGGGGCAGAGAAGGAGAAGCTGTCCCACTCTTAGAGTAAGAGTAGGAAATGTGGCATTCTGTATTTATTCATGTTGACTAAACAACTTTACATTTCCTGTTACAGGAAATTTTAACAACCAAGAAAAAAAGTATTTCAGTCTGACTTAAGCAGTATTTTAAATAATACCACTACTATGTTATCTGAACCTATTTATGTATTTATTATGTTTAATATTAAAAGGGCCCATATGTGTTAACTTGAATTTATGTATAAGTGGCCTTCAATGTTCTGTAGGTATTGAACAAGAAAATATATCTGGGATTAGACTTTGGATTAATGTTAACCATACGTACCAACTATCATTTAGTAGCAGGCTTCCTTAAAGATGGACTCTGCCCATTCTTCAGTGACAACCATGTAGACACTAGCAGAGATGTACACTGAAGACCTAGCTTGCAAGTGACTGGGCTGACAACATCTTAACATACCTGTCCCTAAACATGTTCATACTTTCTTTAAGCATGTGAGACACAGCCAAGTCTAAAGAAGATTACACTCCTCCACACGTGTGCTTACACAGGCACTGGCTTGTTACGCAAGGCTGGGAACAGAAGAACAACTCCACCAGAGAAGAATGATCCAGTGTCAAAAAATACAGCCTAGGTGAGTGCTTCCGCAGGATAGCCTGCTTCAGACCACTTCCCGACATTCCTCTTCGCATGCAGCTGCTTGTTAGAAACAGAGCCATCCTTGCCTCCCTGCCTGTGTAAGAAAGAGGAGCAAAAAAATAATTTCATTGAAGTGGAATTCAAATCTAAATGGTCTGCCTGAGCTTAAGGGATTGAACCCTTGCCATGAGTTCCAGCTTCTATGGAAACGGTTGCCATCACCTCTTTGTTGGCTCTCTGCATCCAGGGGATCTCCATCGTCAAAACTTCCTCATTTCTGGATCAGAGAGGACTTCTTTAGAAGCTGCTATGTCAATGAACTTTTTCTCACCTTTTTTATTTTCTTCTGTCTGGAAGTTATCTGGGTGCCACTGCAATGCTAATTTTCAGTATGCTTTAATGATTTCTTGCTTTTTGGCATTTCTTTTTACTCCCAAGATTTTATAATAATCTCATTTCTGTGACTGTTTCAATGATCTTTGTGCTTTCTCTAGACCTTCCTGAATCTGCTGATCATTTTCGTTGTGTTCCTGAGCAGTTTCATAATCCTAAATAGCTTTGTTGTACATTTCTTCTATTAAATAGGCCTCTGCTCGATCTTTCAGAACATTCACATTGGTTCCATCTATAAGACTTGAGAACATATTCTAATAGCTTCAAGAGGCTTCTCGTCCTTAGAAAAGCAGTGGCGGCTGGGCGCCTATAGCTCAACCGGCTAAGGCGCCAGCCACGTACTCCTAAGGTGGCGGGTTCGAATCCCCAGCC